TGTTTTACTCAAAATCTCAGAGAATATGTATGAAAAACTTGAAGCAGATTGAAGCCTAGAACAAAGAGACACAGAAATTCTATTAAATATATACAAGGAAGACTCAAAAAATCTGAATTTATTTTTAAACAAGTAAAACGGCAAAGCCACTTTTCGGATGAGACTATGTCTCCGAGAGCACGAGCAACGCATGCGCAAATCTTGCACTCGGGCCTGTTTGTAGAAACAGTCTCAGCATTTCGTATTTTCTTTTGACCCGGTTCTCGGTTCCCTGACTACCTACAAGTCTGATTTATTTTATGTGCGCATGATTTGGGCTCCTAATACTCTGCGCCAAATTGCCCTTGACAGCAGAGCGATTTAAGACGAGACATAGTCTAGTCAAAAATTATGTATTTATTTTTAAATGTTACAACTTTAGTCACCCTCAAACTACTCTTAGTTTGACGCAAAGCACTTATTAAGATGTTTTTCCAGAACTCAAAATAGATTTTGAATTAATCAATTTTGATGTCTGTTAGTGCTCTGCCGTTTTTTCTTTATCTCTTCCACATGTAAAAATCTTTTATCTTCTAAGATTTTTTCATCTGGGGAAACAAAAAAGTGCACGAGAACGAGATAGGGTGAATAGTGAGGATGAAACAAAGAACCATACTGTTTTTTGGTGAAAAACTATTGGGCACTCTGCTCGGCATTGGCAGGAGCGTTGTCATGCTGGTAAACCCAGACACTTGTTTGCCATAACTCGAGACGTTTCTTCCGCAAATCTTGACACAACCTTTTCAAATCTTCCTGATAAAAACTCCGGTTAATCTTTTAATCTGAGGAACAAATTCCGAATGCACAATCATTCTGATGTCAAAGAAACAGATAGCACAATGCGTTAAAAAGTCTGAAAAAGTTTACTGTTATTATATCATCATCGAATAAACTGATTCAGAAGTGTTATTTGAGCAGTCATCTAGCGAAGGAAGCTTGCAGTAAAAGGAGACCGCCATGCAAAAGCGATTCCGGACTTTTGATCACCTCGCCTATACATGTAATGTATATTAAAATGGAACCACTTAGTCCAGCAGACTAAGCAGTTTCAATAGTTCTGGTTCCAGAAGCAAAACTAGATTTCTTGCATATATTTAGAATAATATGATAATTTACTTTTTGAGATATAAAATTATAATCCTTCATTACATGAACTTGATTGAAAATTTGGACAGCTGACATTATAAGTTTAGCTATTAATTATCCGAGTTCTACAATTAATTATTCTTTCCAGAAAAGAGCAAAAATAATTATGGAATAAGTTTTTCAGTATTATTTATTTTATATTTAAAACATTTATCTCTGTAAGTTAATCACTAAATAATTTTGCCACGTGTATCATGAATAGAGCTAGGACATCTATAGCAATAAACATTAGATAAATATGTATAAAATAAAGCAGTTTATAACTTATATGAATTTTAGTGTCTCCATGTCCTAGCTCTAGTCATTAATAAGATAAAATAAAGCGTTATAAACAGATGTTTATCCTCTTTTCATTTCAGGAAAGTTTTCATTTATTAGGTAAAGTTAATAATTGATTTACTTTTAATGATCACAAACTAATCTTTAAAATCTTCATCTAATATAACACAAAATTGTATCGTATAATAGCATTTTTATTACAATATTGTAATGCATTTTATTTTAGAGAATACAGCAAAAGCTATAAAAAATTATAATATAATAGAGTTAATATTTTATAACTGTATGCAGTTTGAATCAACATTTTTATTTCAAAGTGAAATTTTAAAAAACGATCTGTCATGCAGTGGAAAATTTAGAGACGCAGAGATCCTGTGAGGAATAACGTTTAAGAATCTTAAATGATCCTTATAATTATGAATACATGTTCTTCTGATATCATTCAAAAATTAGTATTTTATTTTCGGTGATGGTTATAATGTGGACGACTAAACGGCTAACAAGTAAAACGGAAAAAGTTGAAACTGCCGCTCTGGAAACTATAAACCTAAAAGATTTTTGGTAAGTGATCTTTCCACATAGATGGAAACCTGCCTCTCATCACTCATTATCTCTGACAATCACATGGTTGACGAGTCTGAATTCTATTCTGGATGTTCATAGCAGTAGCTCTGTGCACCAAAAATCGAATCCAGACAGGTCAAAGAGCCCCAGGAAATTTTTCGAGATGTANATCGTTAAAAATTAGAAAATTAAGCCTCGTTTAGATACTGGCTCCCTTTCATGGTTGAATGCATGTTGCCAGTTAAAACACGTAAAAATAATATTAAAGTAGCCAAGACATAGCCAAATCTTGTAGCGCCACATCACTAGCGGACATTTGAAATTTGCCGACTAGGACGGTCGGTTAATCGGGGGTCGGATAATCGAGGCTGTACTGTAAATAGTTGCCTGTTGCTTGTTTTTATTTGTTTAGTTAAGTTACGGCAACGCAGCATTTGGGCGATGTGTCTAGGGCAGGGGAATTCCTTCCGAAAGGTCTTTTTAAAGGTAACTGATCTATTCAGTCGTTACAGACGTGAATAAAACGCGGAGAACTGCATGTGGCCAGTCCTGTTCTAACGAAGCGCGAACCAAGATCAAACTCCCAGCGTTCAGGGAACAGAACCGCTTGGCCACTGGTGGGCCCTATTGCTTGAGTAAAATATTATTTTCTAGGGAGAAAAAAACAAGGAGTCTTGTGGTTTGTTAAATTTAAGTATTTTAAATTGTGTAATAAACCATTTGTATATGCAGAAAACAGCAATAAGTAACAACTGGGAGGATGGTCACCTACATTCGGGTCAGCGCGGACGTAAGAAAATCATTCTGATTGATCGGAAGTTGGCTCTCAAAAAAACATTTAAATTGGGGAAAACGTCAAGAAAAAGAAGTGGAAGATATGATAGCACTTGGATCTTTGGACTAGACAAGCATGCTGACGATAGGAAGAGAGGTTATACTCGGAAACAGATCCGGCCCTACTAGAGCCGCTCCGGGCGCTAAGTTTTAGGGCGCGCCTCAGTGTTAAAGAAAATTAAAGGGTATAAATTAGGGCTACCAAGGGGGCGCCATAATAGGATCTCGCTCCATCCTAAAATTTCCCTCAGGCCGGTACTGCTCGGAAACGATGCTCGGATGCGGGTGAGATATTAGATCGGATGAAAAGTGCAGATATAGCGTATCCACGGTCTAAAATTGTCAAGGAATCATTCGATTTTCGATTGTTCCACACTATCTTTGATTATTAATGTATCACTCAATACATTGTGATAACGTAATAAACTCTGTATATTTCCTGTAAATTAACTTTATACATTGAAAAGAGTTGAGTGTGGACGTGTATTTTTTAAGAACCTACATTCCGAACATCTCGGGTCATACTTACTCAAGAAATCAGTTTGGGGAGACAGAAAATACAGATGAATTTTCACTTTATAAAAAGCCGTTTTCATGAAAGAACAGAATGAATAATGCGTTGGTAGCTTCGACTGGAACTACTCGACACTCAAACTGTCTGCAACAATTCCTAGTAGTTTTGAGTCCGGAACTACTAAGAATCGTTCCTTTTGAGTATATCTGAGGTGGATAATTTCAGTTTCGACCCAAAGCTATTTACTTTAAATTCTGAATTCAAAATGCTCGACTTTTAAATAGATTTATTAAAAAAATAAGATGATAAAAAAATTGAAAGTTCTTGAAACTCAAAAAGTTTTTCTTGGTGACATTACAAAGTTATCCCGTTACTGGCAATACCAGACCGCGACCACTGCTGGCGATCATCCCAAGGAACACAGCCCGTATAATAGAGTACTGTACATCGTCACTACTGAAAGAAAAGAAAATGAGACACGTCATCAAAGTTGAACATCTGGTAGACCATGCCCATCTGGAAAACTGCACATGGGTGTTAACTTGCGGCTAATGGAAACCTTAAATGTCTAGTGAAAAATGAAGTAGAGAAGATGCTTCCAGTTAATCTGCATGCAACTAGATAAAAAGGCTGTAGACGGCAAAGAGAAGGCGTCAGTTTATAGAGAAAAATACAATCGTTTATGTTAGAGAAAATTGCGAACGTTCAGAGTAACGAATTCTGAATTCACAGTGTGGGAAAAATCCAACTTGAGAAAGTGATGAGTGAAAATACATGTTTCTTCTGCAAACAAACTAGGCAACATTTTTCCTTTCTTTGATTATTATAATGATAATTTGAAGATATAGAAGACTTACTTAAAACTGTATGATTTTTTGTCTATTTCTTTTTATCCTTTTCACAGAACAATTTAAAAGTAACTGTCAATTAGCCTAAAGATATAAAAAAAAATCTTATTAAAACATTTTATATAGATTACTACAAATTAACAAAGTTAAAAAATGATCAAAACGCCGAACTTTTATTTTAGGATCCGGCGCTTTCATACGAAAACGATGATGATAATTTTTCACAATATCTACCGTGTTTTGTAGCATTGTTAATTGATCTAATTTGTAGATCCGACATATCCTACCTCCTCCGGGTTGACTTGGCTAATTCATAATATGTATTGGCGAAAAAATTTAAAAAATTCAAACCTACTGGAAATGAAGATATTTCGAATTGTAATGAATGATGCCAACTTCCCATAAGGAAAAGGAGACCAGCTAAAAATACTACATCTTTCATATTTCAAAACATTTCCGAATAATTTTCAAAAAATAACCGATATTATCCATTCAGTTCAAACAATTGTCAACATTAATAGAAAACTGCGTTAGGTTACTAAGTATTAGAATTATTATAAAACAATTATTCGAGATATTTTGGTAAATTATCAAATTTTAGAATAATTTGTAAAAGTTCCGTTTATCGTCATAAAAAAAGTAATAAAATAATAATAGTTATTAAAATCATTAATTGTATGATCTGACTTTCCATTGGCTGTTGTAAATTTTTATTGCTTACTTGAATCATATAAATCGCAATATTTCGAATAAATACAATCAAGTTGTATTTTCAAAAGGTAACATAACTTAAATCATAATTATATTATTATATATAATTTCTAATTCTTTTGTTTTAAGTTTGAATTGGATATCGTTATTCTTGAAATCATGAAAGCTGTTTACGGTATCCTGATAATACTTCTCTTTTGTTCGATGTGTAAGTTAGCTTTTATCTTCTTTCGTAATTTATGTACATGTTACAATGTCATTAATTCTACTTTATACATTTTAGTCGATTTGAGTCAACAAACTTTTATAAATCATAAATGTAAATCGTCATCTGCATGCTTGCCAGCATGTAAAGCAGCAATAGGAAAAGCATCGGGAAAATGTATAAATTCAACATGCAAATGTTATTATTAGTGCAGCATGTTTTCACAAAGAAATTGTCACATCTCATATAAATTACTATAATTTTAATTTTTTGCTGATAATAAAGTTTAATGGTGTAATTCTTTCGTAATTTTAATATTATTTGAAAAATACTGCAAATATTAACTGAGCGGTTGCCAAATAAACAGAAAATAAAATATTTATGTTTGATTACAGTATCATCTATGATTGATTGTAGGGTTTGTCGGTTTTTAAAACCCGGTTTTTGAAAAACCGGCTTTTGAAAAAATTTATATAATTTGAAAACCGGGGTTTCCAACTAAAAAACCGTTTTTTGAGTCTAGACTTAAACATATAAATTGATGTTTCTAATCAAATAATTATTTAACATTTTGACACAAAATCGTCTCTGACATAAAACGGGAATATTGTTAAATACTAAGTTTCATAAAATCAACTAGAAAAACATAAAAATCCACCAAGTCTAAAAAGCGTCCAATTCTCCCTACAATAGGGAGAAATCTTTCAACAACGGAAAAACAATAGAAAGATTTGTACACTTAAAAAAATGCGTTGTTTTAGCTTTGAATGATATCAGAGTATTGTAAAACTGTAAAGCTCTTTAAAATTTAAGGACCAATACGTTTAATAGCTATGCCTTAGGACGACAAAGTTTGCATCTTGTCGTCCTATTTATTAACAAGTGAAGGCATATTTGAATTTCTGTTATGTGAATTGAAAAATAATTTAAAAACTGAAATTAGTTCCAAGTTGTTACATGCTGTAGAGATACGAATTCAAGAGAGAAGAAAAACGGGATTAGTAACTTCTCCTTTATTTACAAAATCCACAGAACGTTTGTACAAAGACGTCTAGCGTATTTCTTCCACTAGCTGCAAAATCTGATATCATTAAGTTATCTGGACAATATTATCGAGATTATACCCAAAATATTCTATAGAAGATGACTGCAATAATGAAAAAGTGGCGAAGAAGAAAATCAACCATAGCTTTAAAAAATGCTATGGAGAAATCAATACATAAATATCTCCAAGAACCTGAGCATCTATAACTCTTCCAAAGAATTTGATTTACATGAAATTCTAATTTATTTAAGTTTATAACAAAGTTTGCGTTGTATAATCTCTCTAATACTTGATAAGTGAGCTCCCCATTACTTATTTCATTGTTATCCGTTGTGCTTATATCGTCTATATAATTCCGGACTTTTTCATTTTCTAAGAGATCTCTAATACCTTATTCATAACTTTTTCGAATAATGCCGGAGAGTTTTTCCAACCTTCAGACAAACGAGTATACTGATAATGTCCAAATGGAGTGACAAAAGCCGTATACTTTCTAGTCTCCCGGAAAATGCCGCAAATCGTCTTTTTTTGTAATAAAACTCTGTCTGTTTTAACTAATAATACTTCGTGCTTACTAAAATTCCAGCAGATATTAAGTTTTTCCAATGTGTGAATCCCTAGCAAAAGATCATAGTTCATTTCTTTAACGTTGTTCGGTTCAATGTGTTGGATTCGATCTCTAAACTATACAGAGGCCAAAACATCTTTATATACAGGAAGTGCTCCATTAAATTATTTTAAGATTATGTGATGGGATTTAGCTTGCATTTATCTACAAATGTAGGACTAATTAGATTGACCGTGGATCTGGAACTAGAAAAACCGAGCAATGCACGTTATTCACTTCCATTTAGAAAATTCGGGGATCATTAAGATCTGTGAACAATGTTCCGATTTTGTCAGAGGAATCGGAAAACCCTTTTTACTCGTTATTTGCATCTTTCCTGTTTCCCAGATTCTCATTCAAGTAGTTACCACCATTATCGATTTCATTGACGATGGTGAAACTTCAATTACCATGAATATTATTATCCCTTCTTTCGAGTTTCTTTGGTGTCGATTTTTGGTCCGTACCAATTTTCTCAATCCGACACGTATGTCTTCTTTGTTATTTAATTTTGCTGTAGAAGAATAGTTTGCATATATCATGGTTGTAAAGCTTTGTTCCTCAATATCAGGATATGCAAGTTGGATACGTCGTTATTTTTCAAAATAATATTCTAATAGTGGACCACTAGGATATTCCCATATATCCGCTAATATGAAGAGTTGGATCCGATTCTGTCCGAATGCACTAAGAAAAAAATTTTCGAAGGTTACGGATAAAAGATCCGTAACCTTCGAAATTATCTGAAAGGAATCGCTGTTAGTCTGTAATCCAATTGTGAGATTCATACGCATGTTCGTATGAAATTATCCAAATACGCGCTTCCTCCGATTTTCTATCATATTTTTCTATGTTGATCGTACCGCGAGATGTGTTTAGTGACATTTTTCGATGGTTTGCCAAAAAAGTTCATAATCTTCAATGTCTCGGCTTGTTGATTCACGTACAGCTTTTGCAACTGAACCATTTGCGCCAACACATCCGACTTCAGATCAGACGAACTGTCCGTGGCGGCCGGTCGTATTAAAGTTTTATTAAGATAGTTCTTACCTTCTGTCTCCGATAATGAAATAGATAGTGTTCGATAATTTATCATAGTCCGGATAGCAGTCTGAAAAACCGATGAGGACGAAATTGTGAGATGATTTTCGATTCCTTAAAACTCTTGGTCGACTTCTGTCCACTTGTCTTCCCCTTTCAGTTGATATCGGCAGATAATATAGAAGTCCTTGATTTTCTGAACCAAGAATTTGAAAAGCATGATTCTAATTTAAGACTATGTAAATACAACTGAGTACTGAAATACTGTCGAATGCGGCAATTTATAATATCACCAAAATTCAGAATACAATAATAAAACTAAAAAGAAAGGTGATCACAAGAACAGATGAATTTTACGTTTGTTCCACACACGTCATTCTCTCCACTATCCCCAGACCAAGCTATTCCTTCTCCTTCGTGACCCCCTCAGTTCCCCGAATTCTTGACGAGCGCAGATGTGGAATTAATGGGAGGGGTTCTAATGAGTAGCAGATTTTAAAGTCTGCTTACAATTATTTTGTAACAAAACCGTTTATTTGTTAATTTTTTTTGTTCAATAAAAATTATTTATCATCAATGAAATGCTGAACACACAAATTAATATTAAAAATCAACATTCTAATTTATTTAAATTTATTAGTAGTGAATCACCATTATCTCAAGATTTTTTCAACTATACCTGTAGTGTCACTTGATCTCTCACATTAATTAAACTATCATTTGAATAATCAATAAAAGGAATCGTTGATGCGATTCCCACTTTATAAGAATTTATCTTCAAATACTCCAGTGCGAAGCCCATTTATCTTTTTACATTTCTGGCTTTATAACAAAGGGAAAATATGGCAATCGGTAAAAAAATGACTTATATTTTGTTTTTGATGATGATTATTTTTATCATCAAAGAAAACAAAAAACTCATTTTTCAGTAATAGCAAGGAAAATATTTTCATAATTATAAAGATAATTTAAGATTTATAAACGGTTCTCCGCTGAAGACTTCTGGATTTCTAAATTTTCCACTGAATAGCAGACCAATTTTTCATTTCATTTTAATGTAACAAAGTTGTTCAAACAGAGACCAACCTTATACTAATCTGGGCAAGATAGTTATTTGCTGCCCCATTTAAATAAAGGCATTGTGTAATTTTAATCGAAAAATCTAAGGGCTCGAACCTCACACATTTAAATAATTATTTTCAAAAATTATAAAATCGATTATCTGAAATTGAGAATTTTTTTATTAATTTTATTTTCTTCTGTCAATTTTTTCGCCCCTAGCAATCTGTCTCTCTGGGCAGCTTGCCCACCTTACCCACCCCTGTATCGACTCCTGGATTCATAGAATATTAATTCTATTATATTATGATTTTCTTGTAGTTTTTGCTATTTACTTTAAAATAAATAATCTAGTAGGTTTGCAATAAAACTTTTATTATAGCATATTATTTTATGATATCCAATATAAATTTTTGCGATTTAGTTTATAATCTATAAAAAGTAAATAAATTATGAACTTTTCCTGATCAATTAAAACTTTTCTTGAAATGAAAAGAGAATGCGCAACTGTTTCTAACGTTTTATCTGTATTATTTATGACACATTTTGTCGTTAACTTACAGTAATAATTATTTCAAATAAAATATCCCTCTAAATTAATTTAATAAATGCGAAAAACTACTTATTCCATATTTATCCATTCTTTTCGAAGAAAAGAAATAATTAATGATAAAAGTTCGATAATAAAACTCAATGCCGTCTTGCCCTGCATGGAGTTCAATGTTTTGCGTTCCTTGCGAATCAACTTAATACTAATAAATCGTGAATTTCTTATGTTTAATCATTACTAAAACTCTTTTGAATTGAATTTTGGATAGTATGAACGCCTGGAACCTTGTAATATACTAGTCTAAACAGGTACCAAAATTTCACTTCGCACACGCTTGATTGTGTAATACTAAAGATCCATAGAAAAATACTGTACAGTACTGTACAATACAAATATTAACACTCGGACCTTGGGAGTTGCAATTTTTTTTTCAATGTAATATTTTATTCCATTTTTTGTCATTTTGTAATTTAAATTGGCACTTAATCAGGAATGTCTTTTTGTGCTCCGTTCAATGACTTTTCAAATTTTTAAATAAATTTACTAATTATTTTTATGCGAGTAAATTAAAATTAAAAATAAAAATAAAAATTCGACTAATATACAAGCCAATGAAGTATTTATCGAACTTTTTCTAAAAAGTCGATATTATTTCCATTTATTAATTATGCTAATTTTCTAATAAAAAATTGCATATTTTTCTTGATAAAATTTTTATTATATCTTCACTTTTTATTTTTATATGAAAAAAACAAAGATTATGCAATTAAAGATTAACATTTTCTAACAAAACTCCTAATTCAGATAGTGGAACTAGGAATCATTTGTGTTTGTGCTAACTAGGAACGATTCATTTTAAATAAATGTATGCTACACATTTTAGACAGTTTTTACTTTTCACTGTTTTGATTTTACTTTCTCTGCTCTGTTATATATAACAGATGGAAAGTATGGCGATCATACAAAAAAATAATCTCTGAAGATTTTTATATTTTT